GAACTTCAAGAGGACTTTGTGCAAAGTGCTGCCATCTTATGGTTACTTTTCTATTCTGGAGTAGCGAAGGTATTTTAAAAATTAACACATGCAAAGGTGTTCAGATACTGAAATTGCCCTACTACCATTTAGCAGCATTTTGTCTTGCTACATATTTAAGACCCTTCAGAAACTTCATATCTTTATTAATATCTTTCATCATTTATGTTAACACATCACTTTTGTTAGCATCTTTTCTTTCAAATTCCTGCTACATGGGTCTCATCTACCAGAGCAAACAGAACATTACTTCTAGTGTCTTTGTTGTAAGCTCAGTTACATGAATTTGAATTTTCAGAAATTGTGTTCAATAGTCTTGTCAGTATAAATTATTTCTGTATTTCTCAAATCTTGCTTTATTGCTGTGTGGGTGTTTCTTATGAAAATAGTAGGAAGGAAATTTAAACCACCAATGTCCACTGTGATTTAAACAACAATGGTGGAAAAAACACCTCTATCAAAAGACCAGTGTTTCTCCAATTTTCTTAAAGAACTGATAACATTTGTTGATACTATATACCTAAAGTAAAATCATGCAGGACCAAGAACATGCAAATAGAACCGTCTCTACATAAAAATGAAATAAAGTAAATCAATTCCAATTATCTTGGCTGAGTTACATAAAAAGGATAAGGCAGAGCAAAAATTCCCTTATAAATGCATTCCAGGAATGCAAAATGTTTGATCATGTAAATCCTATCAATAAATATTTTATGCTTCTTATCTTATATATTTGCAACAGCATTGCTTTGTTTTGGCTGGACATTTAACAAGTTACCATAATTTTTAAACAATTATTTAAAATCCTCATTCTCAATATTTTGTAGTACATTAACATACTCCATAGGAGGCCATAGAGTCACGTTCTATAATATGAATCAGTAGACTAACAGAAACTCAGAAAAATACTGTTGACAATACCACAAAACAGAGGGTATAACACTGGAAAGGACATCATAGATGCTGATTACATGTCCCTGCTACTGCACCTTTACGCAACTGTTTTAATAAACTTACCAGACTCCATCATAAAACTATTCAGATTGTTTATCTCTCTGACACAAATAGAAAGCTGGTCTACTCACCTTTATGGCAAGGGTCTACTCACCTATATGCAAGAACTGGGTGAATTCTATATTCTCCCATTTAGAAACAAATAACCTCCATTTTGCTGTGTTACCCGTGACTACAACAACAGTTTGTTCCTGCCACGCTTACTAGAAGACTGTTTCAGAGACTACACTCTTGTCATGGCTGGAAACCTTCTAAATTCCAGCCTAAATGGACTAACTTTCAATTTATATCCATTTGTTTTAGTGACAAGATTGTCTAGTACCTTAAATAACTTCTTTCCTTTCCTAGTATTTGCCCTGCCCTTCTCTCCCCCTCCCCTGGATGTATTTATAGAGAGCAATTGTATATCTCTCATTCTTTGTTTTGTCCAGGACTACTACTCTGCATTTGTTTCAATGCACTTTCCTAATTATGGGTGACAGACCGTTCAGAGTACTCCAGAAAGTTTTGACCAAAGCCTCCTACAGTGGTGTCCGTACTTATGTATCCCTCCCTAAGTTGCTTGTGTCATTATTTAGGAGGATCATATTCACCTTTTCAATGGTTCCACCACAGCTGGCTCAGCAGCCTTCTATGATTGTCCAAGACATGATGGTCTTTCTCCTCTTGTCCAATCAATAAGCCACAATTTAGAACAGAAACTATTTTGACCTCCGTTTGTTTGTGGTCTGGCATTTATGCTATTAAAATCTATCCCATACCTCCAGATCTCAAGTTCCCCCACTCTGCCTATATGTTTTTCTCGTCTGACAGATGTTTTTCTCATCTGACCATGCCGTTTTTAGCAGCAATGAAAACATTAAGGGAAATCAGCCAAAACTTTGGTTCTTGAGAAACTCGACTTGTAACCTCTAGGTAGCCTGATAATTCCCCTTCCAGAATAAGGTCATGCACACATTACCTCAGGCCTCATATTTTTTAATAAACTTATAGTGCTTTTATCCTATTTTCTTCCATTTTATCTCCACATCCTTATTTATTCTTTCTTGCAAAATGTGTACAAAATTGTGTGTGCAAAATTTTGCAGATTTGACTAATGAAGCTGCGGATACGAGATCACTTTTCCTCTGCTTTTTTCTCTCCCTTTTTTGGCAGATCTTTTAAAAGTACTTGCTCTTGTAGTTGAAATTGAATTTGCTGGTCCTTTTAGCATTTTAGGATGGGTAATGCCTATTATTCCACTGTGAGTCTACCCTGCTCCTTGGATTTCATTTTCAAGTTTGTAAATGTTAGTTTACAAAAGTTAGTTTTAATTTTTATACATTCTTTCATCCTGTTTTTGTTTTCTCTTAATATATTAGGAAAAAAGAGAAATAGTTTACTTGGTTCGGGCAGTATCTACACTGTCTTTAATCTCTACCCCATTCTTACCCCACCAGTCCCTCATTTGTGTAGTAGAAGAAAATTCTAGTGTTTTACATTTTGTCTGCAGATTGTATTTCAGTTTGCCACTTGACAAATCGGACTGTATCCTACATTTCTCGGTTCCCAAAATACAGTTTTCTTTGCTGGTTGGGTATTGTGCATTTTTTTCTCCTATGTCTTGCACTCTCTTCGCTCAATCCTCGTATCTTTTTTGAAACATTTATTCACCCAGCAAGGTTCTAACATCCTTCACTATCTACTAACAGTGCAAAATGAAACAGGATTTTTTAAATATATCTGAATTAAAGAAATTCTTAACCTCAGATCTGCAACTTTCACCCACTTGACATCACTAGCTAGTTTTTTTAGTTTCTCAGAATTTGTCCTTCTGAATTACTGTACGTAACAGGCCTAATTTTTTCATTCTTTCTCTTATTTTCAGTTGAGTCAAATTGAGATAACTTTAGCTAGGTTATTTTCTACAGCCAGCTGCTCTATGTCATCACTACCTAACAAAGACCACCAAAAATAGCATCATGTTGGTCTAGTGACTGCTTAGTGATGAAATCTGTCAGCTATCATACCCTGGAATAACTGCCTCTACCATTATCAGTAGCATTTGCTTTACACACTATTTTTGAGCAGTTAAAATTTTCCATAATGAGACAAATGCTTGGAAGTTTCTCTTTCATGTTTTAAGTCATCTGTATCAGATGTATTTATAGCAAATCCTTAGTGGTCCTTCAGATGACCCTCATTGCTATTCTTCTCCCCAAAAGTTTGTCAAATTCCATTCTGTCTGTGCTATCTCTTTCTACCTCCACACCTTAGGACCTCTACTTTTATTTCTAGCTTTCTTAACAGTCCAGACATAGGTTCAAGAGTATTCCAGTCATGGACTTCTCATTCACCATGCTCTGTTATCCTCGAGAGACCCAGTGTCATCCTGAGACCTGTAGTTCTAGGCTGCTTGTGTTTGTACAAAATATTTGTACACAAATATCTCAGCTTGTTTTCTATGACATTGTCCAATTTTTTTGTTATATTGCTCACAATACTTTCATTAACTGTCCTGGCATGCAAGCCATTCTCCTAACATTCCTACCCAGACAGGAATTATTCTACCCATGTAGCACTTACTCTTCCATATTGCTCCCATCCGATATTTCTTTATCCCCCATATATTCACCTTATTTTCCATTTCCTGTTTTTTGAAACCAGGCGTGGAAATTACCTACACATGTCCCCCAGCCTTCTCTCCTATCTCCTAGCTTACAATCCTTTTACTGATTATACTTATATTTAAATACATATTATTAGTATATATTATTTCATAATAAGTTACATGATGCAGTCATTATGTTACTGATATCAATTATATCAATCTCAGTTCCAGAAAATGAATACCATATTTTCAGTTGAACTTCATCGACTGTTCGTGAAAAATCCTCTTTCCTCTCAAAAGCCTTACAACACTTCTCATAGCATCAGTTCTTAAGACATCTGCTGCCCTTCATTATCTTGCATGCTTTAACACACCCTCTTTAGGAATGAAACATTGTAGCGTTAGCTTTTCCTTCAGGACAAACCTACTCAGACAGATTTCCTTTTTGTTTTGTATTCTTCTCAACGTTCGGTCCTTCAGCCTTTTTTCCTACAATGCGAGCTGATAAAAAGTTGCTTCAGCCAAGAAATGACTGCATTTCCACAGACATTAAAATGCCTTCTGTTTTATAAATGGAATAAATAATGAAAATGCATGCACATACTGTGTCTCTATTTGCCTCGAATACAATCTTTTTGGCTTGAAATTATGCTATAATAGTGCTGCTGACTTTACATATATAAGGCAGATTTAAAATAGTTTCAGTTTAGAGAAAAATATTTTTGAATGAAATAGGTAAAGTGAAATCTTGAATATACTTTTGAACTTGAGTAATTGTTTATGAGATGTGTCATCAGTTCTCCTGGAGGTAGTTTAGTCACTTTGAGTTAATCATTAACTGAAACTATGTGAAAACCTATTCAAAGCCAGCATACAATGAAGTGTTCTGTTAGGGAAGAAATGCAGACATTGAGTCATAGTTGTCAGTTATTCATTATACTTCAGTCAATTATGATGCGATTCTTTGCAACCTTGTTCTTGCTTTTGATTTCTAGTGTGTTACTGGTCTGGTGGATGAGCTTCCCTAAGTTGGTGCAAGATCCTGCTCACCCTAATCAGGTGAGACACTTGAATGTCTAACCACCATAAGGTAACTACACTATTTTAAAACTATGTGGAAAACAAAAATGAGGGTAAAGAGGTTAGTGAACATAATATTGTTCAAGCTAACAATTACCATGTGAGACAGGAGAAAAAGAAATATTAGAAGTACAGTTCTGCGCATGGATTGCTCAATGGCACAAGAAGCCTCATTGACAAAGTCTAGCAGCCAGTGATATAATTTGTTCCCGAAGAGGGACATGGCATTTATTCATGAAGAATGAAAGCATTAGAAACGTCTACATAGCTTTAGTACCTGAAGAACCGATTCACAACTAGAACAGGTGACCATGCCTGGTTCATAAGAATGATTCAGGAGTAACTGTGGAGAAAAATAACAATGTTATCATAAAATCTGCTTTTTTAGTATGCTACTTCAGCAACGCTATGGGCCTGGACATTGCTCTGGCAATGTGTACTCGTAAACAGGTAAAACACACATTGCTGTGGATAACAGCCCCCCCAACCCAAATTGGTTAATTTCAAAGCCATTGACACTTTGTATCTGGCAGTACTAAAAAACAGAAGAAGATACCACCATTCATTACTAGCTAATAGAGTCTGCAGGAGAAGGTGTGCAAAGCCTGTATTCTGCTGCCAGCAAAAAGGCTGGATGACATCTGGGTTAACAGTGATTTGGAACAGGTATCTGAATGCCCTTATAAATCAGAGAACAATAGCTGTGCTGGGGAACTTGTGAGGGCACACAACAGGAGAGATCAAGGACAAATTCAGACAGGTTAAACGCTGATCGCTCCAGAGGACCATGCATGTCGTTGTAAGCAAACCCTTCAGGGAACACTAAACACACTAAACACTAAACACCTCATATACTGGAGGTGTCTCTGTCTGTGTTTACTATAGGCAGAGCCAAGGGCAAAACTGGCTCCAGACTTGGGCCCCTCGGGTGCCTACTGCTACACAGCACAAATCTGGACAAAATATAAGCAACAATATAAGTTAACAATATGGTTTGTTAAATAATTTTTTTAAGCCATCTTTCTCAAATTCAAAGCGAGGTATGCTCTCGCACAGTGCATGAATTTCCCTGCATGTAGGACAAGCACAAATGCCCTTTTCTGCCTGCGCCATATTAGACCAAAGGAGATGAGTGCACGACTTATAAGTCAGTCATGATAATGATTTCAAGCAGAGCTATGTAATAGTCCAGCAGAGGACTGAATATGCTAGTAACGTCTTGTACAAAGTACACATTTATCATGATCTGATGAGGTCATCATTTTTCTTTCTCATTTTGTGAAAGTTCTCAATATTTATGGTTTAAAACAATATACAAAAGCAAATAAACCTTTTTGGTCCTTTATTTGGACTGTGATAGGATTTTTAAAACTGGCAGGCATACAACTACCCAGGATTCACGCACAAAATCAATCACATTACTGAGAAAAACATTCATTTTTACCAAGTATCCTTTACCATCAGTTCGCTCACTCGGAGTAATACAGCCTTTTTACTTGACACACAAATGATATTTATATTCTCATGTGTTACCATCTGATTTATTCCTACCACTTTTATATGACTATAAAGTATATGAATATATAATAATGCGTATTTTCTCCCTTGGTTCTTCAAAAAACATATTTTGTTTTCATTTGCTGTGTTTGTGAGTTGAGCGATGGCAGTTTGATTTAGCTAGTGCTTCTGAAATCACGTATTAACAAATCTGTCAAGACTTGGCTTTTTGCTTACATTCTTCTAAGTTCACAGTCTTCATGGTATATAGGATTTTTGTTTTGTTTGTTTTATGATCCTGATACTTTTTTTCCTTCATTGTCAGAGGGATTTTTGAGGAAGATTGTTTGTTGGAAGAACTTGCTCCTGTATTGCAACTAGAATCAGTACAGGCTTAAGCGTAGATACAGCCTCTCAAGCTTCCTCCTGGAGAGCCTTCCTGGCTTAAGAAATCCCTTAGTGCAGTTCTTGTGGGAGATATCTGTCAGCCTCTTTCTGTTTATAATTTCTATTAATACTCCGAATAACAGCCCAGGCACCACAGAGGCCTTGAGTCAATTCTACAAGGACAGCAGGTAAATATTGCCAGAAAAATAACAGCTCAGTGCTGGGAACAGGGGATTTCCAAATCTGAGCCTGAATGCCTTCAGGGAGGAAAGCCAAGCACAGAGGATGAGGAAGTCAGGAAAAGATCAGAGAGGGAGCAAAGTTTACTGAAGCTGATTTTAAACAGCTGACTAAGTTGTTGGCTTTGATTTTAACATCCATTTCTACTGAATCGAATGAATTGCCTTTAGCACAGCACTGTGGGACTGAAGCGGGCAAGAAACAGCTTCTGGCGATGGTAAGGATCATTCTTACCAGCAGGTTTTCTGTCCTGGAGAGGGACGGTCCATGCACAGTCCTACCCTCTAGACAGCTCTGCTAAGGGAGGAAAAAACCCAGTCTATGCCAGACCTTAATAAGGCACCTCTGCAGACACAGCCAGGACACGTTACCCTAGTAGTGCTGTTCCTGGGTAGACTGCAGGGTGTCATTTCATGAGCAGCTAGCAGTGAATGAAACCTCATTTTGATCAGGCTTTACCTCCCAGCCGACAAGCCTGGAGACCGTGGAGCACTGCTTACACTGTCACAGCCTTGAGGCTGTCTGGGCACCAGCAGTGGGAAATAGGAACCCTAGGAGAGAAACGTGTGCTCAGCTGTGTTCGCCCGCACCCCTGGCAGACAGATGAGAACCACTGCAAGAGCTCTTCAGAGAGTTCAAGAGTTCAGGCTCTGCAGGACCCCTGAATTCACGGCAGCCGCTCTGGTTGTTACTGGCAGAAAGCACTTAGCAAGCAGATTGGAAAGTAAAGTAGTAATCTGTGTTTTCTTATATATATAAAATACCAGATAGCAAGTCAGACAAGTTTTGGATGCCACTGAGACGCTGTCCAGGTCACAGCAGTGACTTAAGAGGCATATTTCTGTCTAAACTTTCAAAATGAAATGTTGTTAATGACAGCACAGGCATCTTACGAGTTTCCCCAAATCCCTTCAATCTTAACAGACAGTGTAAATGTTTTAATTAAAGCTTTCATAGAGAAGCAGATCAGAACTACTACATCAGTTTCCTTTCACGGCATGTTTCAGCAAGCTGATGCAGATTGCTAGGTTGATGAGATATATCAATATTATAAGACACACCATGTGTCAGGCCGAACACATTAAAGGCTGACATTAAACTTTCATATGAATCATTCAAACTTACTCAGCCATCCAGAATTAATATGAAATGAAAAGTCTGACTAACAAGTTTTATTATTTTTTTGATTTTGTAGAAGTAGGAGGATGAGGTGCATGAACAGTGGTTCATATGAGATAGCGACTTTAACTCTGCTCATGTAGGAATTGTGCAGACATTTTGATGATGATGGATAGAAATCTACATTGGCATTTTATTGAAGATATCATCATAGCTTTTTGAGAATTAAAATTTTGACAGTTTGATGGGGGGAAAGTCTGTTAAGACTATCAAGTCAGGTTAAAAAAATCTACATATATCGAAACCCACTTTTTAAAAGAGCTGCCCCCCAACATCTCCCCAAGAGAAAATAGGTAATGTTCAAACTGAACGTCATTTTACTTATTCCTTTTCCTTTTGATTGTCTATTGGTATTGTCAGTTAAATTTTCTTACAAAGATGTTCAGTTGTAAAATCATTTGGGGTTAGATCTCAACCACACAACTCAGTCACGAAAACACAAGTTTACTGCACTGAGTAGTCCATGCCTTTATTGGCACAAACAGCGACCTACAAATGGTAGTTAGTACTTTCAAGATTTTACATTTCCATACTTTGGACAACATTTCATCATGATTCATCATTCTTCATCTATCTTTATTTCTACTGATTTTACTTCTTTTATAGCTCAGCTCTGTCTAGACCAACATGCAATTCCGTACAAGTACAGCTTAATCATAACTAGACATGCAAGCCTCACTGGGCAAATAGGTGATGCTCTCTAATACTTCTCATCAGATTAAGTTTCCCTTTCTGTCTCAGTAGGATGGAAACATTTTGTTCTCACAAAAAGCCTTTTTTTCCTCCTTATTATAGGATATTGCATGTTGATGAAGTATCTCATGATGAAGTTCACTGTGGACCATTATTAAAAGTTAGTGCTGCAATACGATTACTCATTGCTGCTTCACTTTCTGCATGTTTTTGGTAAGTCTGTGGCACCTCAGAAGCTGCAACTGTCATCAGGGAACAACACAGAAGCATTCAAAGCGCTCTACAACTCTGCTAGGAGCAAGGCGGCCATCTTTCGCCATCCTGAATAGCAGTAACTCTGCAATGAAAAACAACTGCGGCGTAAGCACTAGAGATGGTGGCATAGCAAGAGAAGTGCTGAGAGCATTGCAACCAGAGATATAAGTAACAGGCCTATTCGTAGAAGTGTTTTTCCCTAGGGGATGGAGTCTTGCGGGTGACTTCATTAACTGCTGACAGCAGGCAGACCGCCCTGTGCTGGGAGTGGAAGGGAAACAGTCATCAGATGGCCCCAGCCACAACCGAGGAAGTGCACAGAAAGATAACAGACAGGTGAGGTGCTTTCCTCACTATTCAGAAGAAGTTAGTCACATCCCCGAATTTAATGCTCTATCCCTTTCCTTTTGATAAAGCAATCTTTTTGTTTTACATGCAGACTCGTGATTTGCACAAAGGGTGCTTTTGTCAATTGAAAGCACTCTTGCAGTCTCCCCAGGTTTCTGAAGGTGGGGTCTGAATTCTCTGTCTGTTGTCCATTGTAAGCAAAATCCCAAAATATCTTGGCATTTGTTACTTTTATTAGTCAGGCGAAGACACTTACCAAACCTTATTATCTGCCATTCAATGCCATGTTATATTAGACCTCTCACAGTATGTGCAATAAAACTCTTGTCACTGTGCAGCCAGCAGGACATATGCTCTCTTTGGTCTCTCTAGCACACTTAGTTACAGAAATGAGGACCCATAGCCCAGATGTCCTATTCCCTTAGAAATAGTGATCCCCAGACTATTCACTAACTTAAAAACATCCATCCCTACTGAACCTGCCTTGAGGCTGCTTGGTGTTTACCTGAAGGTGCTTTTTGCACTTAGAAGATTAATCGCTAATACAGCTAATGTAGCTAACAGCTAAACAGTTGACAGTTCAAACATAAGAGTTTCTCTACACAATCACTTCTCACTTTGCTCCAACATAAATACAGGGGGAAAAAAAATGTCGCCTTACCTCATGTTCCCCACTACACTTGAGCATCCTCCAGCTGTGGAGCAGACCTCCTCAAGCTCACAACAGTCCTTGTGCTGCGGCTCAGCTTTCCGCTGGATCTCAGAGAGTCTCTCTTCTCCGCGTCAGCTGCCTTGCCCTTGCCAGCCCTGCAGCTGAGCCCCCTCTGTAAAGGGACACTGCTGTGTTACTCCTTCTAACTTAGCTTTCCTCTCCAAATGCTCCAGATTCACCTGGTGTCTGTGTTTCAGAGATTAACTCCTTGATTATGGTCTTTCTTTAGTAAGTTTTCTACTCTCCAAATGCTGTCTCCTGTAGAAAGTTTCAAGAAAACTGGTCTAAAATGCCATTTTTCAAAAGTCCTATTCTTCCCAGAGGGAACACTACTAGTCTTTCTTTAATAACCAACCAGGCTATTTATAGGAATGGTGACAGTGTGTCTATCTCCCTAGTACAATGAGCATGAGGCAGTCCACATGAGACATGACAGAGGCTGTTCATAAAATCAAAACTGCGATTCATACGCTGTATATCAATAGTGATTTAAGCAACCACTTTCTTCCCTCACACCAGATGGAAGAAATAAGAGCCCTACTAGCAAAGGACACATAGCATAATCTCTCTCCCAGACTGGAACAATTAGTCCATTGCTTTAGAGAATCATGTTGAAACTACTTTGATTATTAAAAGTTTTCTATTTATTATAATACTAGGTCATTCTAGGATAACGAGGCAGTGCTTCCCCCTCTACCACACTTGCTTTCTACTCAGGTCACATGCCCTTTTCAGGGGTGTTTTTTCCCCCCCCCCATAAACTGTATTGTAGGTCCATATTAACAGACCTAAATTAGGCCCTTTCATCTAAGCAGAACACGACAGTTTGGGGATGAACAACAAAAGAATCCCAGACAAACCTGAGCCAAAGCCAGAAACGGCAGGGAGGCAGAATTTGCTTAGGCTACTAGCAGGCGAGGAAGGATCAGTATCCACAGGTTGAGAGTTGGAAGACCAACATATAAGGGTCTCATCTAAGGTACTAACTGGGAAATGGAGCACAAAGAGCAGAAGTGTCCCAGTACACCTAGATTATATCATTTCTCTGGGCTGGCGGTGAAGGGCTGGGGAAAGCACTGAAAGGATTGCAAAAGCAAACAAAGAAGGCACGGATGGGCTTAGGGCTCTACCCTGGGATCAGGAAGGGAGGTAGAAGAGGAGTGGAAAGACCTGAGAAGAAGCAAAAGGGGGTTTCCTCAGAGCAGTGCCATGAGCTGCTGCAGCCAGGCAGCACGTGGGCCCAGTGGGGCAGCTGGCCACCTGCCCCTCGCCCCCCCCAGAGACCCCCCCGCTTCCCCTCTACCATGAAGGGCAACAAAACAACTACCCCATCTCTAACAGACCTGGGCAGGAAGGTAACAGCCACTTCAGCTACCCCCACCCTTCCCCATTTCCCACCAACAGCTGCCCCTGCCCAGAGGGGCCTTTTTGGCCATGGGTGCACAGGTGGGGAGGCAACGAGGCCCCGCGTTAACTCCTTCCTCGCTGCCAGCACGTGGGGCGCATTACCACAGTAAAAACGCAGAATATTGGTCTTCTTCCCTCCCTGTCGTCGAAGAAACGAAAGCCCCCGGAAGACCCTGTTCACCTGGCACTCGCGCATCGCTCTCTGGGGGCGGGATGGTGGCACCGTGCGGGTCCCCCAGCCCCCCGCGTGGTGGCCCGAGGCCCCTTGGTGCCCCCACGAAGCTCTGCCCCGCTCCTGAGAGCTGCCACGCTGCACTCGCACAGGGCCCGCGGGGAGGGACCCGGCCGGGGAAGCGGCCCCGCAGGAGGCAAGCTGTAGGGCCTTGGGAGAGGGCACCGGGATTTGCTTGTTTAACACTGACGTTATGAATGCCAGCGTCCGCTTTCTGCGAGAAAGGTCTGCAGGAAGTGGTGGGAAGTGTTTTGGAAGGAAGGGAGATGAGGAGAAATGACAGACAGGAGCGCTTCTTTGGGCATGAACCCCGTGTGAATTTGATAGAGCAGATAATAAGGTGAAAGTAGGAGCAAAGAAGTATACGCTAAGAGAAGAGTCACTTGGAACTGGGTGGAAGAACAAGCAGAGGCCAAATGTGGCTGAGGAGGAACAGTGGAACCTGTTGCCCTCTATAGCCCCTCGGCGTGGC